GGGGGGTGTGGGGTAGTGGGTAGGGTGGGTGTTGTGGGGGGGTTTTTGTGTGGGTAGGTGTGTCTGTGGGTGGGGGGTGTGGGGGGGGTGTGGGGGTGGGTGATGGGGGGGTGGGGGTAGTGGTGTGTGGGTGGGTGGGGGTGTGTGTGGGTGTGGGGGGGTTGGGGGTGGGGGTGTGTGGGGGGGTTGTGGGTGGGTGGGGTGTGTGTGTGGGTGGGGTGTGTGGGTGGATGGGGTGTGTGTGGGTCACGGGGGTCTGTGGGGGGGGGTGTTTGGGTGGGGGGGATGGGGTGGGGGTCGGGTTGTGGGTGTGGTGGGGTGGGTGGGTGGGTGTGGGGGGTGGGTGGGGGGGTGGGTGTGGGGGGTGGGGGGTGGGGGGTGGGATGGGGTCGTGGGTGGGTGTGTGGTGGGGTAGGGGTGTGGGTGTGGGTGGGTGTGTGGGGTGGGGGTGTGGGGTGGGTGGGTGGGGGGGTGTGTGTGGGGGGGGTGTGTCTGTGGGTGGGGGGGGGGGGGGTAGTGGTGTGTGTGGGGGGGGTGGTGGGGTGGGGGGGGGTCTGTGGGGGGGGGTGTTGGGTTGTGGGTCTGGGGGTGGGGGGTGTGGGGGGGGGGGTGGGGGTGTGGGGGGGTGTGTGTGGGGGGGGGGGGTGGGGGGGGGTGGGGGGGTTGTGGGTGGGTGTGGTGGGTGGGGGGGGGGGGGTGGGGGGGGGGTGTTGGGGGGGGGGGGTGTGGGGGGGTGGGGTGGGTGTGGGGGGGGTGTGTGGGGGGGTGGGGGGGGGGGGGGGGGGTGGGGGGTGTGGGGGGGGGGGGGGGGGGTGGGTGGGGTGGGGGGGGGTGGGGTAGCAGTGTGTCTGTGGGTGGGGGGTGTGTGTGTGGTGGGGGGGGGGGGGGGGGGGGGGGGGGGGGTGGGGGGGGGGGGGGGGGTGGGTTTGGGGGGGGGGGGGGGGGGGGGGTTTGGGGTCTGTGGGTTTGGGGGGGGTGGGTGGGGTGTGTGTGGGGGGGGGTGGGGGGTTGGGGGTGGGTGGGTGGGAGGGGTGTGGATCGGGTCTGGGGTGGGTTTGGGGGTGGGTCGTGGGGTCTGTGGGGGGGTGTGTGGGGTTTGGGGGTGGGGGGGTGTGTGGGGGTCGTGGGTCTGTGGGTGGGGTTGTGTGGGTCGGGGGGGTGGGTGAGCTGTGTGGGGGGGTCGGGGCATTGTGGGTGGGGGGGTGTGGGTTTTTGGGTTGGCTGGGGTGTGTGTGGGGTGGTGGGTGGTGGGGGGGGGTGTGGTGTGTCTGGTGGGGGGGGTGGTGTGGGGGTTGTCTGTGGGTGGGGGGGGTGTGTGGGTTGTGGGTGGTGGGGTGGTGTGTGGTGGGGGGGGGTGGGGTGGGTGTGGGTTTTTTGTGTGTCTGTGGGGGGGGGGTGTGTGTGGGTTGGGGGGTGTGGGGGTGGGTGGGGGGGGGGTGGGGTGTGGGGGGGTGGTGGGTGTGGGTGTGTGTGGGGTTTGGTGGGGTGTGGTGTGCTGTGTGTGGGTCGTGGTATCTGTGGGTGAGGTGTATGTGGGGGTAGCGGTGTGTCTGTGGATGGGGTGTGTGTGGGGGGGCATGTCTGTGGGTGAGGTGTGTGTGGGTCGCGGGGGTCTGTGGGGGAGGGGGGTGTGGGTTGTGGTGTCTGTGGGTGGGGTGTCTGTGTGAGGTGTCTGTGGGTTTCGGCGTCTGTGGGTGAGGTGTGTGTGTGTCGCGGCATCTGTGGGTGAGGTGTGTGTGGATCGCAGCGTCTGTGGGTGAGCTTTGTGTGGGGGTCGCGGCACCTGTGGGTGAGTGTGTGTGGGGTTGCGGCGTCTGTGGGTGAGGTGTGTGTGGGTCGTGGCGTATGTGAGTGAGCGGCGGCGTCTGTGAGTGAGCTGTTTGTGGGTCGCGGCGTCTGTGGGTGAGGTGTGTGTGGGTCGTGGCGTCTGTGGGTGAGGTGTGTGTGTGGGTCGTGGCGTCTGTGGGTGAGCTGTGTGTGGATTGCGGCGTCTGTGGATGAGGTGTGTGTGGGTTGGGGCTAATGGAAGGGACTCAGGGAGTGCTAAAATTCCATGGGTTGGGGGCGCAAATTACTTGCTGACAACCAACACTACACCACTGAGTGAAGGGTAACTGTGGAGTACTCAGCAATGTTAAGTAACTTGAGGACACTAATCCTATTCTTAAATTCTGAGCTCAGTCTTTGTATCAGCGAATAATAGGCTGAGCTACATTGGGACACCATGAACCATGTCCTCTTGAAGCATAAGGTGACTCTGGTGCAAGAGAGGGAACACCAGCGTACAATCACTGGGATCTCACACACCGGTCTGTACTCACTAATGTCCTTGGGTGATTCAATGCCTCCTTCCAAAATCTACCAGACGCCTCTCCTGTGAATTCTCCAGCACAGATGCCCAAAAGTAATCTCTCCGTCAGCTCCTGCAGAGTTCAGAAAGATAGGCCCCGAGCTAGCACAGCTGGGACCTCAATAAGCAGTAGAAAGAACAGTTGGACTGCTGAGAAGGGAAGCAGCCCTTCAGGCTGGGATCACCTCCTCCTGGACAAAAACAGGGCACCTCCCGGTTTCAGGCTATTTATGCTCGCTTATGCTCGCTTCCACCCACCATCTGGGCACCCTTCCACAGGGATTGGCTGGGAACCAGGCACGGACTGACAATTCATGGGGGCCTCCAGGCAATAAGGGATCATGGGGCCCCTGTGTACTTGCCCACACTTAAAGCACACCCAAAAAGCCTATAAAAATGGTGCCAGGGGCATTTCATGGGGCCCCCTACTGACCCCGGGCCCTCGTGCAGCGCCCGAGTGCTCGAATGGTCAGTCCGCCCCTGCTGGAAACACATAAATATTCATGCTGTAGATTTGACTCTCCCAGTCCACTACTTTCCAGAACTATCCAGAAAACGGGGAAGCAGTCAAATCCACAGCTGATGAAACTCAGAGCAGACCAGAGTAATCACAAGTAGACATGTGCAGAATGAAAACATTTGTTTTGTTTCATTTGGATCAATTTGTTAAGTTACTCATTTTATTTTGTTGCATTCGTAATGAAATTTATTTAGTTCTACTCTCTGTAGTTGAAGAAATGCATAGTTGCTGCAACTACTTTACAATATGGAGCCTCAGTCCAGGGATTCTTCTGCATATAAATCAGAGATCATGTTGCCTCTATGCCATCAAACAAAATGATCATGCAACATGGTTATTTCCTTTTTACATAGAAATGCCCTGCCCTCCACGCCACATAGATCCTTGTATTAGGCTCACCTCCCTGTTATTTACAGTGATCTGAGGCCACAAATCTGACCACCTAGATCCCTGGTGGCCATAAGACTGCACGAATCCCTTTGGTACGTATTGTGACGCCCTGGTGCCCGAGTAGGCAGTATTCATTGTGTACCTTGTTTGAGTGCTTACACAAGGCCAGTGAAGGAAGATTAAGTAGGAAGCATGATTGTGCAGGAATTGATTTGTAAAGGGATTATAATTACTGATCTCTAACAGTCTCATATTACATGCTTCTTTTTTCTGACTGTGTCCTGCAGTATCTTTTCAGTTTTCAATCTCATTTAGTATGTCTGAAGACTCTGACCATCTGGTGTAGTATTTCGAGCTTTAGAAGGCTTTCTGTATGTACTTTTACATATATTATGTGTGGCCCTTTGGTAATGTCAGGGGCCACCCTTGAAATAAGTTGACTATCTGTGATTTAGATACAAGGATTTTGTTGGAGCAGCACAGCAGCTTATAGGAATAGGAACAACATTTCCTACATTTGCTCCTAATGTGCTTCATGAAAAGTGAGCCTTTTGTAGGAAGTAAGCTTTGGTTCGGCAAGTAGGCCGACTGCAGTGTCTGATATATTGAGAGTCTTATTAAAGCGGAGTTCTGGGCCTTGGCCCCCTCACCAAAAAAAATTAAGTCAGCAGCTACAAATACTTTAGCTGCTGACTTTTAATATTAGGGCACTTACCTGTCCAGGGATCCAGCGGTGTCCTCACCCTGTGCCAATTCGTCAATCGGCTGTCCGGTACTAGTGCTGCCATCTTGACTAAGGGAAACCGGCAGTGAAGCCTTTTGGCTTCATAGCCGGTTTCCTACTGCGCTTTGTGAATGGGCCACAGTCTTCTGGGACCTGTGAAATGTCCCAGAGGGTTGCGGGGGGGGGGGGGCAAACTTTTGGAAGTGGGAGTGGATACCTGTCAAAATCAGATACTCGCTCCCCCTCAAAAGGTGCCAAATGTGGCAGCTGTCAAGATAATATGGCAAGTAAGTAAAATGTGAAGGAAGTCAGTCAGATCATCAAAAATTACAATCAATGTTACAATCAATCATGAGATAAGGTCATCTGGCAGTCAATGGAAAGATTGGGTGCACTTCCCCTAACCCTGAGCTGTGATGGATGGAGTTTGTATTTTCAGCACATAAAGTACAGTGGCTGGGCCAGAGCAGGCTACAGAAATGAAAGCCGCTATCCATCCAGGGGTAACCAACTCTTGATCCAAGGACTAACAAACAGGATGGGGGAAGGTAATGCAATGTGGTTAGACCAGCTTGATGTAGCCATAGAGAGCATTGTGAAACAGCGCCAGGTTTCTATTTAAGTCCAAATCAACTAAATACATTTAAGGGAGCATCGCAAAGTATACAGTCTTACAGGTTGTTTTCTTTAACCACCTGCCGTCCGCCCTATAGTAAAATGACAGGTGCAAGGTGGTTCTCTCATTCTGATAGGATGTCATATGACGTCCTACTAGACTCACTGCGCATGTGCGGCTCAGGGAGTGCGCAGCGCAGCGATCGCCGGTGAGCTGTGTCCCTCGAACACAGCGGATCACGGAAAGAGCCATGTCGGCTCGGTCATATGATAAGCTGTGTCCAATCACAGCTGATCACATGTAAACACGGAAATGCTGGTTATCGGCATTTCTCTCCTCTCGAGTTGTCATACTGACAGCTCGAGAGGAGAGCCGGTAATCGGCTTTCCGCGGAGGGGACATGTACACTGATCATCAGGGCACTGATCAGTGTGCCCTGATGATCAGTGTGGCCCCAGAAGTGCCACCTGTCAGTGCTCACCAGTGCCACCTGTCAGTGCCCATCAGTGTCACGTGCCAGTGCCCATCAGTGCCACATCAATGCCACATATCAGTGCATACCAGTGCACATCAATGCCACATATCAGTGCCCATCTGAGCTGCCTTTCAATGTCACCCATCATTGCCAGTCAGTGCCACCTATCAATGCCAATCAGTGCCACCTATCAGTGCTGCCAATCAGTGCCACCTATCAGTGCCAGTCAGTGTCGCCAGCAGTGCCAGTCAGTGTCGCCAGTCAGGTCCGCTTAACAGTGCTAGTCAGTGCCGCCTAAAGTGCCAGTCAGTGCCACCTAGCAGTGCCAGTCAGTGCCGCCTATCAGTGCCAGTCAGTGCTGCCTATCAATGCCGCCTATCAGTGCCATATATCAGTGTCATGTATCAGTGCTGCCTTTCAGTGCCCATCAGTTATGCCTGTCAATGCCCATCAGTGCAACCTACCAGTGCCTCCTCATCAGTGCCCATCAGTGCCACCTATCAGTGTCCATCAGTGCAGCCTATCAGTGCCCAATCACTGCAGCCTCATTAGCGCACATCAGTGAAGGAAAAAAATCACTTATTTACAAATTTGTATAACAAAAACTAAGAAAAAACTTTTTTTTTCAAAATTTTCTGTGGTTTTTGGTTTAAGAAAAAAATAAAAATCCCAGAGCTAATTAAATACCACCAAAAGAAAGCTCTGTCTCAAAAAAATTATAAAAATTTCATATGGGTACAGTGTTGCATGACTGCGCAATTGCCATTCAAAGTGTGACAGTGCTGAAAGCTGGAAATTGGCCTGGGCAGGAAGGGGGTATAAGTGTTGTGACAGGATGAACGGCGAGGTGATAGAGGGACGCTATGTGTCACCTCGCATATGCTCATACCTGACCGTTTAGGTGGAGTCCACTCCGGGTTTTCGGGGCCACAGTTAAGCAGGTGGGTCCGGACCAGAGTTTGGGCTCCACTGATGACCACCAACAGGTGGTATAAATAAGGCAGGGCTGGTGACAGGGAGAAGCCCTTCACCTCTGAGAGAGGAAACGCCTTTTGTTTAGTTAGTGCCTGGATGGCAAGGGTTTATTTTCATGTTTTGTTTATTTTCTGCAAACCTTTTAAATAAAGCTGACAACCAGTCAGATTTTGATGAAAGCCTGCTGTGCGGTCTACCTTTGTCCCAGGGAAGGAGATCCCCCACCTGAGCTAACCCCACATATGGTGGATTTGGCGGGCACTTCCTGAGCAAGTGGGAAGATGGAGGAAATTAGGGAGAAAGTGGGGGAAGTAAATTATAAAGTTTACCAGCCAGGAAAAAGGAAACCCGAACAAATCTATCATGTTAATCTTTTAAAACCTTGGAAAGACAGGGAAAGTTTGTTGGCAGTACCAAGCCCCCAAAAGGACGTGGTTCCCGTGGCCCCTCAGGTACCTATAACGGAAACCTTGTCAGTATCCCAACAAAATGATGTTAAGAAGTTTGTGAGGAAAAATATAGATTTCTTCTCCCACCTACCTGGACTGACGACGGTCATACAACATGACATAGTTACCCAGCCCGGGGTCCGTGTAAATGTCAAGCCCTATAGAATACCCGAGGCCAGGCGGGAAGCGGTGGCAAAGGAAATAAAGGACATGTTAGAGTTGGGAGTGATTGAGGAATCTCACAGTGAGTGGTCGAGTCCCATAGTGTTGGTCCCAAAACCAGATGGAACCATTCGTTTCTGTAATGATTTCAGGAAACTGAACAGTGTGTCTAAGTTTGATGCGTACCCGATGCCTCGGGTGGATGAGCTCATTGACAGGTTGGGAACGGCTCGATACATAACCACCTTAGATCTGACCAAAGGCTATTGGCAGATTCCTTTAACGGAAGCTGCAAAAGAAAAGACAGCATTCTCCACCCCTGAGGGGTCCTTTCAGTATAAGCAGATGCCGTTTGGTTTGCATGGGGCTCCTGCATCATTCCAAAGGATGATGGACAAGTCGTTGAGACCACATCGCCAATATACAGCTGCCTATTTGGACGATGTCGTCATCCACAGTCCCGACTGGGAATCTCATTTGTCCCTCTTGCAAGCGGTCATAGATTCGCTGCGGGAAGCAGGTCTTACCGCCAACCCCAGAAAGTGTGCCATTGGCTTAGAGGAGGCCAAATATCTTGGCTACATCATTGGTCGAGGTCTCATTAGGCCTCAGATCAATAAAATTGAGGCAATTCAAAAGTGGCCCCAACCTGTAAATAAAAAACAAGTCCGGGCATTTCTTGGAATCACGGGATACTACAGGCAGTTTATTCCCAATTTTGCCACCATTGCAGCCCCACTGACAGATCTGACAAAAGGTAGGGGGTCAGTCATGATTAAGTGGAATCCTGAGGCGGAGACCGCATTTCAAAGGCTGAAACAAGCTCTCTGTGCTCAACCTGTGCTTGTGACTCCAGATTTCACAACAGAGTTTGTGGTACAGACTGATGCCTCTGACGTGGGACTAGGTGCGGTACTGTCCCAAATCAGAGATGGGGAGGAGCACCCTGTGGTCTTCCTAAGTAGAAAGCTCAACAAACATGAGAGAAACTATGCCATTGTTTAGAAGGAATGTTTGGCCATCAAATGGGCCTTGGAGGCCCTGAAATATTACCTGTTAGGAAGACAGTTCAAGTTGGTTACTGATCATGCCCCGCTCAAATGGATGTGTGATAATAAGGAGAAAAACAGTCGAGTGACAAGGTGGTTTCTCGCGCGCAACAAGTGTTCAAATTCACAGTGGAACACAGAGCGGGGAAACTGCAAAGTAATGTAGATGCCCTCTCCCGGGTCCATTGTCTGGTTGGGACAGTTGCTCAGCCGCAGGGGCTTGAGCAGAGGGGGGGGGATATGTGACAGGATGAACGGCGAGGTGATAGAGGGACGCTATGTGTCACCTCGCATATGCTCATACCTGACCGTTTAGGTGGAGTCCACTCCGGGTTTTCGGGGGCCACAGTTAAGCAGGTGGGTCCGGACCAGAGTTTGGGCTCCACTGATGACCACCAACAGGTGGTATAAAGGAGGCAGGGCTGGAGCAAGGAGTCGCTCGTGGCCTGGGACTCAGAGAGGTGTTCTGAGAGAGCTGTGTGTACTATACCTACAAGAAAAGGTTTGCTTTTGTTTTGTTTTTGGTGACAGGGAGAAGCCCTTCACCTCTGAGAGAGGAAACGCCTTTTGTTTAGTTAGTGCCTGGATGGCAAGGGTTTATTTTCATGTTTTGTTTATTTTCTGCAAACCTTTTAAATAAAACTGACAACCAGTCAGATTTTGATGAAAGCCTGCTGTGCGGTCTACCTTTGTCCCAGGGAAGGAGATCCCCCACCTGAGCTAACCCCACAGTGTCCTGTAGGCTAGTGGTTAAAGAGCAGTCACAGCCTGAGTCTAAAAGCCTGTCCCTTGCCGGCATGCTACAGCGTGCCATCCTTGCACTCTGTGGGGAAGCAGTGGTCTCTCTACAGAGGTCCGACATTCCTTCTGCTGATTTAGAACTATAGCCCTACAAACAGAAAAACTGTGCCCCCTGTTACTTGGATTGTTGTAGCTCTGTATCAGCAGGAGGCTTGTATACCTCTACAAGAAATGACAGCTACCTAAGGGAAGAGGGTGTTTGAAAGTGTGTTTTTCTTTTTTATTGGTTGAACTAGATGGACTTGTGTCTTTTTTCAACCAGACTAACTATGTACTGTAACTATGCAAATCTTAAAATGTATGCAAACCCTAACAATAAATGTATCTTATTTGCTGCCTTTTGGTTTGTTAACCGCTACAGGGTGACATGGGTGCGCAAAATCACGTGTACATACATGATTTTGCATTTCCGGGTAGGGGGCGCGCTCAAGCTACGTGCACGCCCTGCCTGCACCACCTTTCGCGGCTGTCAATCACCGGGTCCTGGCCAATGGTTACGCGCTGGCGCCTGGTGATTTCTGACAATCTTCAATGGGGAGGAGAACTGTTTTGTTTACTAACAGTTCTCCTCCCTGTCATCTTGGGCACACTGTTTTGGATGGCTGCGCACAGTGAAGCACACTGACACAGTCCCCTATGTAAAACACTCCCAGCACACAGTTAACCCTTTGATCACTGATCACCCCTCATGTTAACCCCTTCCTGCCCAGTGCCTTTTTTTTAGCACTGATAACTGTATTGGTGTCACTGGGAATGTCAGTGACACCAAGTCAGTTCCCCCCAGTGTCAGAATACGTGTTACAGTCCCGCAAACAGTCAAAAATTTTTTTTGTTCTCAAAATTGTCGGCCTTTTTTTATAGTGCAAAAAATAAAAACCACACAGGCAATCAAATACCACCGAAAGAAAGCTCAATTCGTGTATATAACACACATGAGTTGATGAAGACTTCAACTGTACAGCCAGGTACATTCTGCTATGGAGTCAATATCTTCAGGTTGCGTTGCTGCGTTATCACCTTGTCACAAACACCCCTTGTTGAGACTTCAAGTGGCTGAGATGACATACATTGTACAAGATGCCGATCCAGAGCAATTATGGGCAGCGAATGTTGGAGTAAATTTAGACAGGATGGCCCTGATTTACTATTGTGCCTAGGCACATTTCCATGGGCTAACGTCTACTTTTCAATAGCGTCAGTCTACTTTTAGACAGCAAAGACATTTACTAAAGAAGGCTTCAACAAGTAGACGCAAAAGCGAATTTACTAACCAGGCACAATCCAGGAATCAGTCTAATGCAGGCCATAGATGGGTCGAAAATCGGCCGATTTTTCGGCCGAAAATAAAATCAGCCGATTTTCGGATCATTAGTGGGTTTAACAGGTCGGCCGTTTTTTTTTGGTATTTTGGCAGATTTTTTTTATCGATAAAGTTTGAAAAAAATCGGCCGATAAAAAATCTGCGCATGAGCAGTGACCTGCAAGAGGAAGACAAAAAGAAGAAGAAGAAGAAGAGGAAGAAGAAGAAGAGGAGGAAGAAGAAGAAGAGGATGAAGAAGAAGAGGTTGAAGAAGAAGAAGAATTCCAGTCTGGCAAAAAGTGTCCCTGCAGAGAGCTCCGCTATTTCTTTGACAGTTCTTTGACATTTATAGCGGCTGCAACAATGTATCCTATTTGTTTCCGAATAAAAACATCTGTATCCGAAATGGATACAAATAGATACAATGTTGCAGCCACTATAAATATCAAAGAACTATCAAAGAAATAGCGGAGCTCTCTGCAGGGACACTTTTTGCCAGCTGTAGATGGGATGAAAATCAGCCAATTTTTTTTTTTTACCGTTCCTGGTAATATCGGCCGATTGAACAACCGATTTTTCATATTTTTAAAGAAAAATCAGCTGTTTTTCTCCCCATCTATGGCCTGCATAAGAAAGCAGAAGTGCTAAGAAGCATGTCTAACGCAACAAAAAATCACTGCAAAAACATGTTCACGTTGAAATTTGCTTTCGCAAATATCG